TTCAGGAGTGAATCCTCACACCATTCATGTGCCTCATTATATTTATTAAAAATCTTTACATAGTCATTATGTGAATCATTCCAAAATGACAATTTCTCCAATGGTTTATAAACTTGCTCAGAGCCATGTGATGATATTCCACAAATTACAAGGTATATTTTTCGATACTGAAGATGCTTTTGAATGTTTTCAAGCACTTGGACAGCATTCATCCTAAATCCAGTAACACAATATATATCTAAAATTAAGTATTTGATTTGCTTTGACTTCTGTTCACAATCCACCAGGAATTCATTTATATCATCTTCAATTCCTTTCATTATTCCATAAAACAAATAGCCATGTAACATCCTTGCATGAATTTGACTACCACCAACTTTTTTGAGGAATTGTTGGTCACAAAAATGTCTTCGAACAGAAGATCTAGCTGAATTGTCAGGAAATATTGTTCTAATTTTTCCTTTTCTATAATTTGATACTATGAGAAATGTATGAGAGGTTATAATTCCTAAAACTATTCCTTCAACAAATCCAATAGTAATTATTGCAACTATTATGACTATGATATTGGAATATTCACAATTATTGGAAAACCTCCATGAATCTATCAATGATTCTCCTATCAGCTCCAGTCCCAAGTAAATGATAATTGTGACTATGACTATTGTAGGAATGTATTTAATAAATGGTTGTCCAAAATATACTATTATACTAATACAAAATGCAAGTATAAGTCCTACAACATGATTATTTATTCCTGATTTAACCATTAAAATCGATTCCTCATACCCCAAGGAAACTATAATGATTTATTAGTGTCATCAGTATTGGCATTATATGATTTTCACTAAATAAATAAATAAATAAATAATAATAATAGTTCTATTCTATCTAACCTTGAAAATGTCCAAGAATTCCTGAAATTAAATTAGAAACTCCTTGAACAAACAACTCATGATCTATATTTAGTTTATGATCATCAATTGAAACCTTCAATTTGCTAATCTTTACATGGGCACTCAACATTGCAAAAAATGTGAGGGTAAACATTGTAGAGATGGTTTCTCCTATTGCTTCCCAACTAATTAATCTAAAATCTATATATTGTTTATAAATTAGTATATTATATATAAATAAATCAGTAAGCAGATTTATGTATACTCATACTTACGAAAATTAGAGTAGAATACAGACATTGTAATTTGATCATCTAAAGCAAATTTCCAACCATCTTCAATCAAAGATTTCAAAGGAACACTCCAAAAATATGTTATTAGGTAGAAGCCCAAGAAAATTGATAAAAAACTTAAAGTGGTGACCAGAACATTGTTTTTTTTATTTTTGTATCTAATAAAGACTACAAGGCCTGATGCCAAAACAAATGATAAACTACATAACAAAAAATTGTTCTTATGAAAGAATACTATTTTCAATAATGGTTTGTAACCATATTCAAAAGGATTTGGCACTGAAATCTTTATAGCAGTACATATCAAGTAAATCCCAATACCACCAAGTACTCCGTTATAAATGTGTCTTGGGAAAATATCCAAAAAGAAACGAAAC